GTTGCCCAGGGTGCACCACGTGGAGGTAAGTCTATCGCACACCCCATTTTTTGTGAATTAATAATTACGTCACCTTCAATGGCCATTGGAATAAGTAGCTTATGCAGTTTTTTTAATGTGATTCAATTATCCTCCTCTAATACTCACCGTTATTGTTTAATGAAGTATTATTGTAGCCATTCAGTGGAATTTTTCTTGTACATTACAATTTTCAGTTGTAGTTCGTCAGAATTGGTTACGGAGTTACCTAGTTAGAATCCCGTTTTTTTAGAATTTGGACTGAGGGGATTAAACGCTGTTAGGTTAATAATGGTAATAATAAAGTGACATCTTATTGAAAACGTCTTGTAAATAAGACATTGACAACGCAGTTATTATTCCTACATTTTCGATCTAGTGGATGTTGTCTTTCAACTTTTCATTCCGAATCCCGTACTTTTTCTTTAAATAAACAAATGACGGTTGATATCGGAGTTCTTTCAATATGTGACCTTCAAAACCAAATATGGAAAATCAAAGTGGAATAAGTAATCAATTCTAAAGTTGGGAACATCAAAATTCACGTAATGTAGCCATTAGGCTTCGCAGTTCTTACCCTTACTTGATTGCTTAAATTTATTTCCTTCATAGGATTTACAATAAAAAGGGATTTGTTGGTGGCATTGACCTTGCAAATTTCCGAACTATCGTTTATGCTTAATTTCCTTCTGAAGACAATTAGGGTGAAAATGTAAGCCTGCTAGTAGAAGGATATTAAATGCGTTTGGGGATATGCTCATATAATGATTCTGCACATATCAGAAGAATTCGTGTTTGTAGATCAAATTAAATTTCCTTTCGGCCTTAAACTATAGGCGAATGAATGCAGAAATTGGTGCAAAGCGTTTGAAAACTCACTTCAAGTATGAATTTGTTTTGATTACCGAGTTAGAGACTTAGTCTCCTTTGTCTTTATTGGGCTCTGAATAGTATGAAATTGATTGATAAGACGCGCACATGCCCTGGCATTGTACGTCTTACCGAAGCAGCTTTGAATCTTATTTAGGCACCCATGTTAGAAATACGACCAATGTTCCAAAGAATTTGTTTATTCTTTTCAAGTGAAATAAACGACGTGTCGCTTCTCGCATCTTACTACACAGTGTGAATGTTGCATTGTGAGAATTCAACAATTCTAGTAGTAGCTCCATTCGGGTTAATTCTACTTAGCTTCATCCTCTCCTACCCTAAAATGAAGTCAAAGTTCAGAATAGATTAGAACGCTCATTGCTGCTGCTCACTTGAGTTGTGCTAACTGTTCCACTTGTAAATTATTAACATCCTTTGTATTTGCAATGCCAATGTCCACGGTTCCTTTCTTTAGCCCATCAACGAGGAATGTGTTATGATTAGAATGTATTAGAATAATTTACGCAAAGAGGGAATAATCGATAAGTAATGCATCTTACTCTGTAGGCTGCATTTATCTCCGATTGTAAAGCTCCGTTTACTTATATCTGTCGTCATTATTGAAAATCCATAATTAGAAGTTATTTATATCAAATGGTGAACGTTTTGATAGTTATCATTAGCCCTTTGGTTGACTTCAGGCTTCACAGAGGGGAAGTAACATCAAAATGAAAATAAGTTGAGAGGGGGGGGGGGGAAGAACAGAAGAACGTTTCAAAGATGTAAGTGACAGACACAAAGGTAGAAAAAGGGTGAGTTGAGTACTGTGGAAGTGGTTGAATATGACATACAGTTGGGTCATGGTAGTTTAAAGTCAGAAGTCAACTGCCGGTTAATAGACCTTTTGTCGCATGAGTGCACGTTGCCCAGGGTGCACCACGTAGAGGTAGGTCTATCGCACACCCCATGATTAGAAGTGGCGTCGATTGAGTCCTATGGGTTGGGTTAGTGGGGCACTCGAATCTATGACTTCACTCACGACAGTGTTTACTGTAGCTGAAAGGAAAAGGTCACATAGTAAAATTTGTCTTGCCTTTTTAGATTTTTTTATAAATCGGTCATACTAGTTGGGAAGTGGAATGCATATGTTTTAGTATAAAATTTGAAGACTGGTTTTCATAAAAGCCCTCACCTACTCTCAAAATCTTATTTGTATAATGTACTTGAAGCAGTAACGTTTCGTTGAAACGGCTCTGAAAATGCACAACTTTTCTTTTTGTTTCATTCGCGCTTTTGAAACCAGTTATTTCACAAACCGGTTAGTTGAATCACTTCAGTAATTGTGCACTTAATGTGCACTGTACTCTACATGTCCATTGTTAGCATTTTTTCTAACCACTGCTTCTCCTTCTAATTAAAGTTTAATGTGCAACTGTTTGCGTCAGCCTTCTACGGAATAAATTGCTTGATAAGTTGGTACGTGCCCTAATCTCTCCATTATTTTGAGGAAGACAATTTGTGTTGGGAGTGTGTGCAGGTATCTCCTATTCGTCTCCAACATTTGAGATACTTTATTTATCTCAAATGGCAGGCGTTTTAATAGTTATCATAAGCCTTTTAGCTGACTTCGAGCTTCGCAGAGAGGGGGAGGAATATCAAAGTACCAAAAAGTCGGGAGGGAGGGAAGGATAGAATAATGATTCACAAATGTAAAAGAGACAGATAGACACAAGGGCAGATATAAAGTAAGGTGAGTACTATGAAAGTGGTGGAATATGACATTCAGTGGCGTGATGGTAGTTCGTAGTCAGAAGTCAATTGCAGAATAATAGACTTGTTCGCCGTATGAGTATACGTTGCCCAGGGTGCACCACGTGGAGGTAAGTCCATCGCGCACCCTACATTTGAGATAGAATTCCGTTGTGAATTTATTTGATAGGCATACATCAATCTTACCCTAATTTAAGTGACTGAGCAAAAATTGTTTCTCTTGGTAACATTCCCCTATTTTTCTTACTTTTTTCAGCTATTTTTTGTATAGTATTATCACCCTTGCAAAGTAAAATGTGAATAGTGTCTACTGGGAGTGGAAAATTGAATTAGGACGTTTAATATTTTCCATCTCTTTGATTTGTGGATTTCTCAACCTTCCTGTTTTCTCCTCAGCGAATAATATGTAGCCATATCCTAATGTCTTAAAGTTCAACTTTCGAGATTCGAAGCCAAATTAGCTGTAAAAGAGTTTTCACTTTACCAAGTCCCACTGCTTTTTTTTCGCCAGTGGATTTGCAGAATTGGTGGATGGCGTCTTCTCAAAGTTTTTGACTGCTCCTGTTGCGGTCACTTACAGGCGCCTAATTGACGTTGAGATGCTGTCGTTATTAGTACTGTTATTGCTCATATTAGCACACAATTATATTTCAACTTTGGAAAGTAGCTAGAAATTTCAATAAAGAATAAAGGATAGGTGTGCCGTGCCAAGGTATTAAGGAGTCGTACCACATTTAATTTTTGAATTCGCTTTGTTCGACATGTATTAAATGTGTAGCTTACGTCTAGCAGTGCAAATTTCATCACTTGTCTACGATATTCAATACTTGTTGACTGACTTTTTTAAATCACGAGGATCTGGTCTTACTGGCTCAACCCCCTTCCCCTCCAACACCACCACCACTAATTGAATGAGAAATTAAATTGTTTTGCCTGATGGCCAGCGGCTTACACCTTTGCCCTACCTAAATACATGATCAACAATAAAATTCCTAAATTTTAGATATGGGCTTCTTGCAGGGTTTCCCAATTGCTTTTGTGAAAAAAATATTTACATGGGGATTTTTGAACTTCCGCCTATAAAAGGTGCAATGAACACCAGCCTGGTATTTTATTGTTAATAGCCACACTCCAAACTAGTGGCAAGCTCATGTGATAGGCTTATATCCAATTTCCTCAATGAATGTGTCTGAAAGGCTTAAAATTTGATGAATAATTTGATCCTTTTTGCCCTCGTCAAACCCTCGGGCTGCAAAATTGCGCCAATACAGTCGGGAAAATGCCTATTTCCTCAAAATCAAATTAGAGTATCCAAACGCATAGGTAGTTTAAATTAGTTACCTGTTTTTTACCAGATATGAATTAATGGGGATTTTCCGTTTTATGATTATTGAAATTCATTGTGTTTGCCTAACTTTCCAGCCATTTCCCTCGTCGACGTCAAACCAAGGGCCACAAGCGCGCTGGAGTACAACTCGCGGCGGTGTCTCGCACACAACTTTCCAACCCCAACCACCCCCGCATACAGCATCAACCGGCTCTCGACACACCTTCTCTATGCAACACCTTCACCATCACCAACAACAAATCCCTCCATCCAGCCTCAATACCAATACTACTCCATACGATCGCCGCATAGTTTCCATGGTACCACCTCCCCCTCCTCCACCACCCCTTCACGCCACTGTTCCAATGCTCCCAATTACGACCACTGCAAGCCAAGAGAGTGCCTTCACAAATCTCCTCTATGACATGTCCTGCAATGTGGTGCCTTCTCAACGACCGCCGACAGCAGCTGCTAATCTCACTTCTGAATTCTCGGGTCTCTCATTAACTCCCCGGTCAGTGCCTAGGACGAATCCTCATACTGCTGCTGTTGCTGGAACTATGCCTCGTCTCTCTTCTTCTTCCGTAGTGACAACTAAATCGGACTTCTCCCAACCGCCGCCTCCACCAAAGGTGCCTGTAAAGATGCTGCGAAATGGAAATGGGAATGAAAATGGGTTGACGACACTGAATGCATCGGCGGTATTATCTTCATCTTCTCCTGACACAGAGATAACTACCAACTCGCCGTCGGCGAACTCAGAGTCATATTCCGGAGATACCGAACCGGAGGAGAGAGAACCGTCCTCGAAAGAGACAACTGCATTGGGAGCTGTTATGCCGCCGATCGTAGCGAATAATGATGCGTCCCTATACGCCGTGAGTTTTATTTGTATAAATTATTGACTCACTCCTAACCCTCTAAGGGGTTTGTAACTTTTCCTTAGTTATCTTTAAGGTCCTAAAACAACTCCTTTTATTTAAAGTTGAATCTATTTGTGATTAACTGGAAAGAAATGAATTTTGAAATGGAAAGGGTATTTGATAAAAAAAAATGCGGCTTAAGCGTGCGTGTTATGCCCGAAACTAATCCATTGATATCAATTTAAGTTTAAGATGTTTAGACCAGCACATCCTATTCTCACGAAGTAGGGAAGGCTAAACGAGTTTGTAGTTCTAATTGAAAACTTAATCGACTTTGAATTGAATTGCAAACAGTTGAAATTGTCCTTGTAGTAGAATAATTTCTTCAATTGCTCTATTTGAAAGATAATACCCAGGCTTCTTCACAGGAGCAGATCTTCAAGTGCTCAATTGTGAGAAGGTTTAGTCTGTTCGGTTTGCCCTGGTGCATTTCAACAGTAAATTTTGATTTCTTTGAAGTTTCCTTATCTTCTATTTTGTAGGCTAAAAGCAATCACGTACATCGAGAGGGAGAGAGAGAGAGAGCCAAAGAATGAAATGTGGTGGAAGGAGGTGAAGGAGAGTTCAAACAAATTACTTTTACTGCCGCTAATCAGAAGCGAGAAAAAAAATAGATAATCATTAGGTGATGTGATTTGGTCGTCCAATGCATGGGCAAACGGCTAAACACGAAAATGCTTTCGCATGGGGAAATCTTCAAATTAGCGCATTGTTTAAAAATAACTTCGAGAAGCAATGCCATAGCCATCTTTTTTTATTAGAATTTATGGTTTAGAGGCTGTTGGTGTACTGCTAATGCGCTTCATAGTTAGGGTGCTGGTATTAGGCCTCACGAATTTTACTACCTAATGTTGCATTTGAACATTTTGCACTCTTATTATGGTAGAGTAGGGAGCGTTGGTTGTTGACCTGAAGTGAAATGTCAGCAATTAGCATTATAATTAGGCTGATTCCATATCATATGCCGTTTTTTATACATATTCACGGTAGCAGAAAGTGCTTTTGTCACAATAATACAAATAAATAAATAAATCTTTTTATTCATTGGTGTCAAGTTTATCCCCTTGTTGCATAGTTTACGCATTTATTTAGTGGAATTCGCTCCGATTTCCGTCCAAAGGTCTAGAAATGCTTCCCTAAATCCTGTTTCTTACTGCTTAACAAATGATCCTTTTGGGGAAATGATATTCTTCATTGGTGTGTTTGCGACCACTGTCACATCATGGTGGAGATTGCATAAGTTTGGACGCTTTGCTGACCATGAATAACTAGTATAGGTAATCAACTCCAAAAGCAATGCACAACGATGACTTGATTCCATATTACCATATTATTTACTGAAAATTCTAAATTTAAACCTCACTCCCATTTTTCTACCTTGTAGAAAGAGGATATTTTTGAACAGCACCCTTTTCGTCCTGCGGCTGTTATGCCCGTGGACGAGTACACTTTCACCGTGCCTCGACAGCCGCCCCCCTCCCATCTTCAACAACAACAACAGCAACAACAAGCCTTCTTTCAAGCGCAACAGCAGTTCCTTGCAGTAGATCCTTCGGCAGCATTTAATGACAATGCCAACAATTGGGCGGGCTTCCAGCTTCAATGGAATTCACAAATCCAGCCGTCGATGCAGGATACTGAAGGTGATCAAGCGCCACCAACACCTCCACCCCGGCTTGCCTCGGCTATGAACACAATGCATCTAACGAGAACGTCGAGGAATGTTGCCGCGGAGAATGCTACTTGGCAGGTAATTTTGTCAGATTGATTTATTTTGAATAGAAGTAAGGTATCCTGGAGCCGCTCTCAGGAAAAAAAATTGGCTACCTCTCTTGTTGACCAGAATTACCTAAAGTGGTTAGTCGTCCGTACCACTGGATCTCTTAACCTCTGACTTGACAGACATGAACGTTTTCCACTAGGTCATTTAATGATTTACTTGTGCAATTAGTCGTATGTTGATGTTGATGTAAGAAATGGGGGGAGTGGGGTGGAGGGATGGCTGTAACCTGATTGATCGTCTTTTATGATCTTTTACAGCTAGTTTTAAGTAACCTAGTTTCGGAGTTATGACCACCAGAAGTTTTTCCTATTGTTCTTTTAATCGTTAGTCTGATATCTTTGTAAATGTTGGTTTTTTTTCGCAATGCACATTTACTTTTAATCGCACAGTTGATTATCTTGCAAATAAATATATGATCTCCATCGTAATCAGTCCATCTGCTCTCCACTTATCTCAAATGGTTTCATATTCTTTCCAATAAACCAGCAGGCTTCTCATCTTCGCCCTTGTCGTTTTCCTCATTATGCTGTTGGTATGGCATAAGTTTGTTGAGTAAAAGTCAAGAGATAAACTCCAATCTCTACGCCTTAAGATTGCCAAGCTTCCCTAACTCCTACGGTAGAAGGAAATGGTTAATATCCAGAGAGGTCACAATTTTGTGCTTTTATGAATCCCGTTTGATAGCCTTCTAGTGGAATTATCGGTTTGGCCATTCAGTAATTTTCTCGTGTCTTGGCTTCATTTAACCATGAATCATCTGTCTGTGTTGGCTTGCCTATCCATGAAAAGGTCAGGTCAGCTTCCCCCATTTCCCACTGACCGGCCACCACATATTAAGACTAATTGCCGAGTTGGGGGAGGAGGAGGGGGGGGGGGGGGGGGGGGGGGGGGTTGAGGTTTCGGCTTCGTCACTCATAGGCAAAATATTTTTTCTCTCCTGACTTTTCTCTAGTGTTGTTCCAAAAAAATCCAAATCAGAGCAAACACTGGTGACTTCGACTGAAAGCGTACCGTGTTATTACGTGTTATAGTGGATTTTATTAGCTCTTTACGGTCATGAAGTTCACATTTAGTATCTACTAAGTATCCTATTCTTATTTGACTCAATTTATTTGAATCTAACCTCTTTTGGGATATTTTGTCGAGTTCCATTGTTTTAGTAAATATTTACTTATTTCAAATGTCAGGCGTCAGGATAGTTATCATTAACACTTTAGTTGACTTCGAGCTTCACAGAGCGGAGAAACATCAAAGTCACAAAAAGTGTGGTGAGGGGGAGGACACAGAAACATGATTCACAGATGTAAAAGAGATAGGTATAAATGTAGAGAAAAAGGTGAGGTGAGTACTGTGGTGGAAGTGGTGGAATATGACGCATAGTCGGGTCATGGTATTTTGAAGTCAATTGCCGGTTATTAGACTTTTTGCTGTGTTAGTTTACGTTACCCAGGTTGTATCACGTGTCTATGGCGCACCCTCTTAGTAGATATAGAACTGATGCATTTCAAAATTCTGTCATTTACTGGGTTTAGATCAGTTCAGTCTACTTTTCCTTTGACTGGAACAATATAACCTTTGTGACTTCGTAAATTGAGTGCTTTCAAACACAACTTTTATTAATTACCACTCATCTCGCTATCTGTATGTTGATCGGTGCTAATCAAAGTGTTTTGACTTTCCAATTATTGGGAAAACGTGAGTTACTAACGGACATGCAAACTATCTATTGAACGAACACGTTATGGTATGAGATAAGAACATATGTCTTTGAAGCTCCTTTATTAACGGAGTGATTGTTTTAATGGAACATTCTATTAATGCCTTTGTTTCGCCTCCTACGCAGAACTTCGAGGCTGCCCAATCGCCTGGATTTTTGGCTCGTAATCATCCATTCAGACAACCATTGAAACAGGCTTCTTACACAAATCCCGCTTTGAACACCGTCAATTGTGGTGAAGGTGAGTTCCTATACTATCTGCCTTCAATTTATTAGTGGAATTGAATCCGTTTTAGCAAATTAAATCAATAGATTTCTTGGGATAAAGCAATTGCTGGTTTTGCTCTGCTAATAATTGATTTAAATTTAATCTGGCTCCACGAGAAACGAAAATTGGGATCTGTTGTTCTTTAAAAAGCTTTTTAATGATTCTGTCTCTAATATTTTCTTTCCATCGTATTGAAATATCGATTAACCTCTGTGTGAAACTAGTTAAAAAGAATGAAACTGTGAGTTTCCGTTAAACTTGTCTGTAGCTTTTAGCAATGTGTTGGTTTGTATCCTACTTGTTATTAGTATTTTGTTCCTCGTCTGTTCATGTTTGCAATTGTTTATTTATTTCAAATGGAAGGCGGTTCGATAGTTATCATTAGCCTTTTAGCTGACTTCGGACTTCACAGGGTGGGGGGGGGGGACATCAAAGTGAGAGAAAGTTGAGAGGGGGAACGGAAGAGTGATTCACAGATGTAAAGTGACAGAGGGGCACAGGCAAAGAAAAGATATGATGAGTACTGTAGAAGTAGTGGAATATGACCTAGAAGATATGATGAGTACTGTAGAAGTAGTGGAATATGACCTACCAGTGGGGTCATGGTAGTTTGAAGTGAGAAGTCAACTGCCGGTGGATTGACTTGTTTGCCGTATGAGTATACTTTTCCGGGGTGCACCACGTGGAAGTAAGTCTATCGCACACCCCAATATTTGCAAGTGCTAGTGTGGGCGTATTTTTTCGCCTGATATTTGTGACGCTTACTCGAAATCGACCTCAGCGGATTTGTTTCACCCTCACAATTTGGCTCTGCTGAGATTTTACTTGACTGACCTTTTTAAATCCCTTGCGTAATAGCCCTAGGATTACTTCAATTCACTCCCAATTCTACCAACTTTGAATGAATCAGTATGCTTACCCATGCGGAGGAGCAATCTGAGAATATCCAATCAAACATTTTATGCTTATTAAACCTTCATGTCTATTTCCTCTACACGTTAATTAAGTCCTGACACTCTTATTAACTCATCACCTTTCCTTTCAAAGTAGGAATGGGAGTCAGATTCCAGGTCGTGCCAATTCAAAGCCACCTAGCTGAATGTGAATCACTGTCTTGGGATCAACTTAGTTTTTGCGAGTAGAGCTTGATTGTTGCCCTCGGTTCCGTTTGTTCATGGTGGAACAATCGTAATTTTACTGCTGGGATCAATTCGGTCGCATTCTTTAATTGAACCGGTCATATCGGCATCCAAATGTCAATATCGGTTCCACAGATTCGTGACTGAGGCGTGTGCATTCAATTACTCAACCGATTGTTATTTCTTTATACGTTCATGACCGCAGTGTTCAGAATGGCTTGACTAGCGGATTCGATTACTGCAGTCATGGTTTTATGGTGGCCAAAGACCACCAAGGTAGCATTGACTTGTATGTGATTGCACTTATAACTCTCAGAGAATTTGGCTTAAACAATGCATATTTTGCTGCAATTCAGTTGCCTATTAAATTATGCTTATGTGGCTAACGGGTTCAATCTGTGAACAAATTGCAGTTTTCCGCAATTGAGTGTCATTACAAACTTGATGGGATTAGTTTAACTAGTATTACTGTTAGTATTTCTGTTATTCTACAGTTAACATAATTGCGCGCGATTAGTGATATGATATGGATTACCAGAGGGACAATGTTGTAACCGACTTTGGCTATGATACTGAGTATATGTCGGACGATTTCTCGCACAGAATTCGCTTCCCATTAACATATTGCTACAATTTTATATGCCATTCCACTTGTTATACTTTAGACCATTTTTGTTACCTTGTGATCCCTTGATTTCAAGACGGCATTCTTTAGTCTGATCTAGTAAATCATTTTCTGCACAATGTGCAACCGTGGGGTAGGTGGTGGTGGTGGGGGGGGGCGGTGTGGAGGGAGGTTGGGGAGATAGCAATTTTATCCCCTTTCACAACACGCATAAATTGTTATTTATGTATGTGTACACACACACACAGGGAAAAGGTGGGATCGCTTACGGTGAATCATTCACTCTCGCCTTCTCGCCATTTCTGGCGATCGTTAGATTTAAAGGTCGAAATAGTTGCTGCATACCTACCTACCAACTTCGCCACGAATACACCACTCTCGGTAGTAAATATTCACAAGTAAACAATTATAATGAACACAAGTGCACCGATTTCTAATACAGTGAAACTAATGAAATGGGGAATGCTGTGTGGCTTTATTACCGCTGGTATAATGAGTATAAACTAGGCCATATCACTTGACGTGCTCATTGGACTGAGGGTAAAAGATCTACACCTCTCATGACGGTGTTGCTATCGCCGTAATACATACAGCTTTATGGGTTTTGATTCGTAGGTTGTCATAAATTTCCGGGCTCCTCGATAACACTTCCTAATCTATGACCCCCTGCATGAGAGATAAGTGGGCGAATTTCACTCAGGTGCTTCGAGGGTTCTAGATTTGGGTTTCTATGTTTCTCAAGCGGACATTATGTAGAAAGCACACTTTTCAATGACACTGAAAGTTCTTTGACGACTATTCTTTGAACAGTCAGTAAAGTAATAATAATACTAATAATAATATGACTGAAAAGTACCGTAAAGTTTATATCTCGTCTTGAATCCGAATAAGTGAGCATACTTGGAAACTTGTTCAATTTATATCATACCGAATGGCAGCTTTTTGATGTGGGGAAGACTTTCTGAAGCTTCCCTTGATAGAAGTACTTTCATTTGCCTACTTTCCCATTCTTATTTTCGTCGGTTTTGACATCGTGTTATTAGAAAAGTGCGATTTTCGTGTTAGTGGTATATCCATCTACTGCCACTTAAAAAAAGATATTCAAAGTCGAAGTTGAAATTGTTTAATAGTTCTGTCAATTTTAGTTGTTTTAAATGGAGACCTTTTAATTTCAACTCTTCTTGACATAGCTTCTTCCTTCATTACAGTTGATCATCTAGTGATTTCACTCCTATCTACAGTTGTCGTTTTGTTTCGATTTTCCCTTTTTATAACGAAGTGTTACAAGACCACGGTTTCATTCACTACATCTCGGCAACCCCACTTGTACCTACCCGAGTGATTTACTTTGTAATTCATAACTCCTATTCATTCCACCTGACACTAACATCTAGTAATTCCTGGTCCTCTTTCACGTGTCCTCGTTTACCACCACTCCATGTAATTGACTCATTTTGTCGCGGTGGGGGGGGGGGGGGGAAAGAATGAGCATTTTTTTATTTTACTTCATGGGCATTTTAAATATTCTGGGTGGTTCCTCCAGGGTTTGTTGATTGATGAGGAGAGCGTGGCGCGCTGTGACTCACGCCTTGTGGTTTTAACGATGTTGGTGATCGGTACGCCTCCAGTCTATTAGAATTAGTGTCATATTCTGATATGACTCTTGTGCCTATTCAAGAAGGATGTTCTCATTTGGATTAAAGGGAAGACATTCTAGATCCTCTGAAAAGGAAGATCATATTGGACTGTTTTCCTATCGATTACCACTTAATAGAGCCTGATGGTCATTAAATTCATGTAACCCAAGGTGATTGGCAAGTGTAATTTTGATTTTTGGCTTTAAGGCTAGAGTCAAGCCTATTTAAAATCTTCTCCAAGATGTTTATGCCACTTAATTGCATATAAAGTTTGAAGTTCACCTGAGATCTCAATAAGGTATGCGGTAAGTTCCGACTATTGAATGACTACGATTTTAACATTTAACTGTTCTGAGGATTGCTGAGATGTTGTCATTATCCATTGCCAATGATTTTCAGTACTGTATGGACTGCCAATGTTATCTTCACTGTCTGCTGTAAAGTTTATGTCAAAGCTCTTTACGCCCGTTTGTATCCGAGATTGATGATTGTAAATTTACTTGTGCGTATCTGCGTATAACAGTAACCAGTATCTACGCATTTCACTCCACCGTGTCAACGAGCATCGCTTGGGTTATATTTAAGCCTTATTTTACCTGAGATTCAATTTCAAAATTTCTTTCCCCACGCGCACTGAGCGATATCGAGAGAGGGAGAGAGAGAGTGCTTAGCTCGTAAGTTGGGCAGTAGCGCAGTAGTAATAGCGCGCAGAGTTGGGGTTAGTCATCCATGGCTCTCGTTTAGTACCCTTTTTATTGAATTGCTGTTTGCCAGACATCCAGCAGCCAAATACTCGAGGTTCCAGGTGTTTGCGTGGATCGCTTGTAGTAGCCACGTAATCGTGCGTCCAATGTGCTTGTCTGCTTGCTGCAGTCTATTTGGGACGGCAGACAGTAATCGCAGCTAATCGGGCAATCACTGCTCTCTCCTCCCCCTCCCTCTTCCCCCCCCCCCCTCCCCTCCTTTTAGCGTTCTGAGCGTTATGGTATTTGTGGTGATTTCACACTGTGTTAATCCCATGTATTTTCACGGTAAGCATAGGAAGTACTAGAAATCCAATTGTTTCTGTAAGGGGAGTCGATTATCTTATGTGACTGAAGCGTTGAACTATAGAAGCGATATGCAAGTTTTCTTTCTCACTGATTAATTCGATTAATTTCACGTTCAAAGTTGATTTTGGGATTATTATTATTATTATTGTGAAAATCAAGTTATCTAAGTGCATTTATATGAAATTAAATTAGTGAAAAGTACGTATGTTGGCTGGACGCATTGTTTTTCTTCATTTCTCTCAAGGGCCTGAAATATCTCCCGTTCATATCGCAACAATACTATTTGAACTTATATGACTGCCGTTAAGAAGTCAAAACTAAGCCAGTGCCTTTGCTTTCAATTCATTATTAAACTGTAATGCCAGGTGTTAATAAAACTTAACGCTCTTAGAGGGACGGTATTCTGGATTTGCTCTTATGAGAAACACGGCTTCTTCACTACTCCTCTTGTTGATCGGATTTAATCGGGGTGTGGTAGGTCATTAATGTCGCTAAATATGCACAGATAGCCATTGATCTGGTGATCCTCGATTTTAAAATCGGGGCATTTTTAGCACTGTGGTCTAGATGGGAGATAGAGCCATTCCCAATAATATTTTGACATCTTAAAAAATACAGAATCTGTCCAGAAATTGGTTGTCTACTACCGTATCCCCTAATTGAGGTCTCGTTTTTGTCTAGACTGAATCACCAACTCATGGCTTTTTCCTATTCCATCTTTAATATCATCCAAACCCTTTAATAAGATATACTTCCTGAAGTAAATCTTGAGCCATAATGATTAGCGTTTCATGGCATACTCAAACAGACAGTTTCTTTCAATTAAGTTTTGCTAATTACTTGTCGTCTTTGCATTCTGGTGCAGTAGATTATCTTTTAAATTCTCTCTTAGCCGAATTAAGCTATAATGGCTCAATCTGTCAACACGATTAGTGGCTAACAAACAGTAATAAATCTGAAGATATTGTCACAATAAATAGATGTAGAAAGCAGTTTGAAAATTAACTGGAAATCCATAGAGTAAGGAAAAATGATGCTCTTTGCGGAGTTGCCTGTTTTTCAAGAAATGCACAACCTGTGTAAATCACCATTTGATAATTTATAGATTGCTCACATGGATAAAAAAGTATGGTCAGTAAGCTACTATTTAACCTAATGCTTTGTTTCTCCTTAGACGATATTCCAGAGGATGCTGGCATGACTCACACTTCTACTCGTTCTCTTCTTTCCGCCTCTTCGTCGGCCCATGAGAATTCTCTCGCGGCTGTCATCGGTGCATCAAACATCCCCATGACATCAGCGACCACGGGTTCTTCCCACTCCACGGCATCAGCTACTGCTGCCGGAGCAGCTCCTCTGCATCCCCGCCGCTCCGCTTCCGGAGGATTCATCGGCCCAGCCGACGCTGAAGCTATCTCACTCTCTTCCTCCTTGTCAGCAGCTGGAACTGCATCCACAGCCGGTGGTTTCAGTGGTTTTAGGACAGTAGGATCAGATTCAATACTACCTACCCCCGCTGCAGGGACAGCAGCTAATTCAAGTAACTCTACTGCTATTACCTGCTCAGGCAACACGCATTTTGCTCTCATTTCGGGTCCATACTCCTGGCCAAAGAATCTTTTGAGGCAAGGGCAGGATTCGAGCACCCTGATGAGTTGGACTAAGGTGAGAGATCGTCTTGAGCGGTTTGATGGTACATGTATTTGGTTGATAATCAATATTTAACTTGTAGGCGGCATTCTCGAAGAGACTGCTAGCCGCTACGGATAAAAGTTTGCAGAAGCATATCCCCGAGAATTTCAAGTGTAAGCAAATTTTCTTTATGCTATTGCTGCTCGTGCTTTGGTAACACCCACCAATCTTTTTTAAGAAGAGTTTTTGAAGCGATAGTCTTATCGTTAAACATTCACTCCGATCTTGATAGTATTTATATAGCGATAATAATCAATGCCAGATGTTAATCCTATTTCTCCAGAAGTGATGGAACGTTGAAAGGTTCGAAGATAAGCTTTTAGGCAAATGATTGTTTTCTTTTTCTCCCTACAGAAAAAGTGGCCTGAGTAAAATTTATAGTTTTGGATTTCCCTTTTGAGCCATATTCAAGCACTTGTTTCCTCGGCTTTTGTATTTTGAATGCATCTAAATTACTCCCCCCCCCCCCCCCCAGTAAATGTAGGGTGTCTGAAATGGCGAATGGAATAAAAGTGACTTTTTATGGTATTCAGTAGTCTAGCTTAAATATTTCAGTTCTAACGATATATCATTTCTCCATTGATTTTACAAAAATTATGTGGCTTTAGTTGACTGTCTGGCATAATAATAATGGAGCAAATACTGTTGAGAAGATAAATAGCTCAACTTCAAGTGAATCATAACATCTTGGTTATAAGATTCAATGCCTTTAAGGGGGTGGTTTTTCCAACCCTCTCACTGGCACCTTTTGTTATACTTTGTACTGGACAGTTACGCTGGGGAGCATTGGATTCGTGACCTTTGACCTATGCAGAGTCGAATCTATTTGTATTAGGTTAAGTGGATCTTCCTCTTTAACTATCTACTTGAGAAACTGCCTATTGTACTTTGACACCTGATATCTTTGAAGTGTGCCGTTTTCGTCTTTATTTCTTAATCTTTTAGAAATAGAGAATTCAGTTTTGAAAAACCCTGCATTTGATTATTCTCTTGTTAATACTATGGGAGTGGAAAACAACTCTAGTCTGGACTCAACTTGGTGTATTTGACGTATCCAGAATTGATTTTAGTGCTTCATCTAAGGAGTGGAGATTCCAGAGCCTCGTTTTATGGAACACTAGCATGATTTTTTTGATGTTTTAATAGTAGGAGCAAAGGAGTGATTAGGGTGGAGACGAGAGGGAAATTTTGGAACCTGGTGAAGTAAATATATCCCTAAAGACCCAGCTTAAACACCCTGGCGCTGCATCAATGTTGCCTTCCAGGCTTTAGGGAGGATTTTTCCTGTTTTCTTTTTATATTCTTAAATAAAACTGGAATTCATTCCTACTTTTCACCATATTCCATTAAAAAACGCGATTCTATTTCTTTTCATAATAGTTAAAAACTTGTATCTCAAATTGTGCAAGCGATATCAATATAGTGATTTATATTTCATTTTCTTCAATTTTTTGATTGCATCATTCTTAATTTCAGTGATTCAATCCTTCATGGGTGATCGAAGTGCTAAGTTGAGTAAGCCCGATCTCGCATCGATAATCGTTCAAAGAGCCCTCACAACACCCGGAGTTCGTGATGAGCTATACGCCCAACTGTGTAAACAAACGACTGGCAACTATAACGCGTAAGCATCACTACCTTGTCTATTTCACTCGAATGCCATTATATTTGAATGAACCGGCTTTCCACCTCCTCTCAGTGACAGTTTGATGCGTGGTTGGGAGTTAATCTGCATTTGTCTCTTCTACTTCCCTCCTAACAAAGTCTTCCGTGACCCCCTTCATGCTTTTTTAACCACCCGTTCGGAAGCCCTGTCTGTTGCTACTTCTACAAGCGATTCATCATCCTCTACGACCAATAATAATCTGGGTACCACAAATAGTACTTCCGCTGGCCCATTGCGCCCTGGTCCAAGTCTCGCCGCTGCTGCAGCTCTTGCGGCAGGTAGCGACCCCGTCGGACTCGTATCTGCGCCTATAACACCTGCTTTTGGGGTTCCTCTGGCAACAGATAGCGGTGGATTAGACCCCGTGGCGTCGGATTTGAGAGCTTCTTTGGCGAACAATGTGGCGGAGAGTGTGATTAGCTCGGGGGCACAAGGAAGTGAATTTCCCTATGGACCCTGGGTTAAACCCTCGGCACTACATTTCACACGGGCTGCTCTGCGGTGGTTTATGCGATCTGTGGCTGTTGGAGCGGCAAGAAATTCATCATCGTCGCCTACCAAAGAGGAACTTCTTCATGTTAAGGTGTGGCTAATTTGTTGCGCACTTGTTTACTTGAAATGTCTCGTAATGTTGCTTTTTGTTAGTAGCTAAGTTAAAAGCAATTTATTGTCTCCCTTAACTGAGAATTTGAAGTTCTGTTTTCTTTTATTTACTGCCTTAATTTATCAAATAGGTACTTTTTTCTGTCTTTTTTAATTACCAGCTGCCTTTTTATTAATATGACCCTCCCCCCCCCCGCCCTCCCCTGATTTTAACCTCTCTAATTCGGACTTCATTCTGCTGCTCATCTACTTCTCATGGCTGATGCCCTCTCGAATGTGTGAATACAATCATGCCTTTTCTTATTTTTACCTAGCGGTATTGAAGTTTTGCAGAGTACCATATGAGAAAGGCTCCTCCTTTTCCGTTGGTGATATCTGAACCATGGTCTTATTTCCAACAGATTGTTGGCTGCACGTAAACCTAGCTAGCCTTACATTATTGAGAATATATAGTTATATCAAATGTCACGCTTTATGATAGTTATCGTTAGCCCTTTAGTTGACTTTGAGCTTCATAAAAGTCGAGGTAGACGTAAAGATAGAAAAATGGAGAGGTGAGTACTGTAGAAGTTGTCGAATATGCCATACAGTCTGCCACGGTAGTTTAAAGTCAACTGTCGGCTTTGCCGTACGAGTAAACGTTGCCTGGGATGCACCACGTGGAGGTAAATCTATCGCACATCCCATTGGAGAGAATATAATTTGAAAAGAATTAGGAGAATTATTCTGCCAGTGCTAATCGTGTGTGGGATGTTTTTTGTTCAAAAACCCTGTGTGGCCGATTCACACCATCTAATTAAGTCTCTTTTTTGCAGACATTGTTTCATCTTCCGATTATGACTGTGTGGGTGTCTGTGACTCAGAGTTTGTTGCAAATCAACCACTGTCACGCTTGGCCAATCACGCTCCAGTTCTCTCTGTGCATTTTGAATTTGCATTTAGAAAGACTATTTTAGTATGTCGTCCCCATTGACTCGCACAGTGCCGAGGGCTTTCAAATGTATTTTTGTGCATTCTCAGCCTATTTCGGGCGCTTGAAAACCCTTCCACTATTTGGTCATCTGCACGTCTTTCGGTTGACTAAAAGAAAAGGCTGAGAGTGCAATAATCTTTGCCTTTTGAAAAGTTTGGGTGACTAATATCCCTCATTGAAGAAGAGTCCTAAGTTTTGTGCCATATTCAAGTACTTCTTTTAAGTGCTACTGTCATGAATAATACTACTAACCTTGGGTAGTGTGTAAACGGACACAAATTGGCAATTGGGGTAACCTCTTTTAAAAGCGAATTTGCACATTGCATTTTACTTTGGCTGATCTTTTATTAAATCCCTCTTGCAATACTTCATAGTGGGCAATCTTTATCCCAGAAATGTTGAATTTGTAACTTTACTGCTAATTACGTATAAACTCTGCATATTTGTTAAAATGAGCTGAATGTCAAGGGCGTTGCTTTGTCAGCTTCATTCTACGTTAGTAAGAGGGGGGGGGGAGAGAAGGGGGCCTGTGGCCATTTGTAAATTAATTAAGATACAAATTCTGAGCTATTAAAGATAACCTGAATTTGAAGGCTTAATTAAGGTCCAGGTACATTATAACTCGAACACGAATTGAGTTAAACTAATTCGAAACTCAATGTTCTCTAGTTGGGCTCATTACATTTGGTTTCTCATTGTCTCTCCAGAAATTCCGTCGAAGTTTTGCCTCAACGCCTTCATTTATGTTTGGATTGTTTTATATATTAATCCGTTCCCTCTCGATGCCTCATCCATGCAAAGAACTAGAACCGACATTAATTTCCACATCTTTAACTACTTTGGTGTTTATTTATAGTACCTGGTTCGTTGTGATGTGAGAGGTGAACCTTCAATCATTGTACTTTCCTCACAAACTTTCCCACTTTTCAGTTCTTTCAAATGATTAAGGTTAGATGTAATTCATTATATTGCCTTCATTCATCTTTTTAATGGGTTCTTTATTTTTTTTAATTGAATCCAATACTACGACAGGCTTTTAGCTTAGTGTGCAACCCGAATTTAGGATAATCGATTTCTTTTTTTCCACGAAATGTCGTGGGGGTGAAGGAGGATTTCTCATGGTTAATATTCGAGCCCCACTATTTCCCCTCTAAAGCACAGACATTCGAGTAATAGTAATAGGGGAGACTAAATGTTTATTTAAAAAAAAACTAAGTTAATTAACTCCTTATGGTTTCCCTCCTTTCAGGACTTCCTGTTAAAACCGGGTGTTTTTGGAAGTAGTTTAGAGGAGATGATGAAAATCCAATTCTGTCGATTTCCTTCCCTTCGTCTCCCTTGGATCCAAGTCTTCCTAACTGAGGAGTTACTTCGTCTAAATGGAGCCAAAGCGGAGGGCATTTTCCGGTTAGTTGACTTTATTTTGATTGTACTTTGCCTTGTAATTGCTTCTTAGTGGAAAAAAATCTACCTTGGTGTAGTTTACCCTACTGGAGTTCCGTCTGATCTCATCGAAAGTGGTAATTCGGGAAAAAGTTGGCAATCTTGGTTTAGCATAGGCCAAGGTTATTTTTCGAGCAAAGAAACTTTATCAGCAGCTTGGATAATTGATTTCTTCCTATGCCAACAGTTTTACAAATTATTGCTTTTTTGTTTTTTTTTTAATATTTTATTTATTACAACCTGCAGAAAGACAGAAATATGGTTTTAATTATCAATTATATTTCTTTTTCATTGCGAGAGTGTCAAAACTAAATCGGTAGCTCGCTTTTCGAAATCCAAATTTCCAGTTTCGTCTCCTGGTTTACTAAGTGCATGATTCAGTGTTTGTTGGCCGGTCTATCCAGTAAACTTTAACATTTTTCTTTTCAAAGGGTTATGCCACCAGAAGGAGATTTTGTTAGACAAAACTGGTTGTATAATCTTAACACGGCGGATAATACTCCACCCCCCTCTCCCCCCCCCCCTCGTAAACGCCTTGAAATGCGTGGGAGGACTCTTGGTATTGAAATTTTGCTTTCGTTACCTATTGTTTTGCCCCCCCCCTCCCCCCAAACCCGTTTTGTCCTTCGCAATTGGCAGTAGAAAAGCAACTTCGTTTGTTTTTTGTTTGCATAATCATTAAATAATTCTGTGGAATAATTATTTCGGCATAGTGAGATGGAAAGCAAGAGAGTGAGAGTGTGTGTGCGTGTTTGTGAGAGGTTGAAATAGCTAGAGCATTATTTGTTATTTATTTTACTGGGGTTAGGTTTTTTATCGTGCTAATTAGCCAAGTGGCGTGATTCATTCGGCTCTGTTGTCGAGGTATAAGACGCAATATATATCCGCCCTCACCTTTTCGCTAAACGCAATAAGTGCACAATTACTTTTTCGCCGTGTGGTTGCGATTCGAGTGTTTAAAGGGTTTTTTGTGAATCGCGGTTCGTTCATGAAAATGGAGATGCTTCAAGTGCTTCTTCTTCTACCACATCCCCATTGCCTCTTCTAAACATTCTTTTTACCGTCCTCCTTGGTTGGTTATTTGAGAAGGTAGTGACTTTTGGTCAATCTTCTGTGAGGCCAATGACGCATTCATTAAATGATTAAGTGCAAGCTTGCATTACCGCGGAGGTGCAAACTTAGCTGTTTCTAAGATGTGCCGTCGTAAATTATTGCCCTTTTTAACGCTTTGAGTGCAAATAAATTGCCAGAGTGAACCACAAAAATGGCGACTGTCTACCTTCAATGAGAGAAAAAAGGAAACCATCAGCTGAAATTGTAGCTAGACCGCGGAAAGTAGTTAGCGGTGAGAAGTCGTTAAAGGACTAAAAGTCCAACGGATGAGTCATAGCCAGAATTTAGTGAAGTCTGTCAAGAATTGGGTCAAACAGATAAGTAAGTGATATTATCGACAAAGAAATGCCACTTGTCTAGAAATAATTGCCCCCCTTTTTATTAACCACAGAAATCTCTGTGTTACACTTTGGGGGTGCCAAATAAATGTACGATAGAAATGCTATGTCTAGTTCCCAAGTGTATAATTACCAATAACGAGGTTATCCGGGTAAGAGATAGCGTATATTATTTACTTGTTCGCATTTCAAACAGACGATTGTTTCAACGGAAGCCATCAACTCTAGTAATCTCTTCCATAACGTTCTCCATTTCCAACTCCTCCCCTCGTTTTGCGCTTCTTTTTAAAGAAGGCAACTGCACACACTCTGTAAGTAAGTTTGTAGTTAAATACCGGTCATTTATATCCATATGAATAAGGGAGATTGAGGAAGGAAGAGTATTAGCCATGAATAGTTCATTGGATATTTTCTACAACCATTCTCTCCATATCTCTGTTTATTCTCTCGTTCCATCGGTGACAAGATTTGGGCACAAGATGAATGTGTGCTATTGAGTTTCATATCTTTATTTAACATCACTTATGATTTCCAGGTGCTTTCAATGGTAATTGTTAGCGTTAAGGGAAAAAAGACTTCTTAAAAGCTCTCATTGATCTCTTTTTTTGCAATTTATCACCAACGCCGTCCTCTTTACGCTAAGCTTCATCCGCGTTTAGCCTCATATCTCTCACCTCCGCCCCCCCCCCTCCCCCTCCCCCCGAATGCCTTGACCTCTCCTACACGGCGTTATTCCTCATCTGCGTTTATTTCCTCCTCTCTGAGTTTCGTGGTCGTGACTAAGTCACCCTCTCTCTCTCTCTCTCTCTCGCTCTTTGTTTCGCAGTGCCGAACGGGTTTGTTTTATGCAAATTATGCACCCAATCGTTTCAATCTACTTTCTCTCTCTCTCTCTCGTAAATTTCAACTCTCCTTCAGTTTCTCACACTTTCATCTGATTTAAATTTATGTTCCCTCTGAAGTGAAGTAGCCCTAAAGGCTAAGCTCATTCTCGCGATCTTTTTAGTGTTGGTAATCAATATTTCCGCTATTTACCAATGAACTTTAGCTTTACTCAAGCGTCTAAATTAGCAAAAAATATTGGTGGTGGGTGGTGGGGGGTAGTTATATCCTAATTACTGAATGCTCCAATCGAGTTCTAACAATCTTGTTTGACCCGACTTTTGTTATTCATTGCTTTACACCTAATGAGCGAATGGCCAATAACAATGGCTAATTGTGGCTTATAAAAGGAGACTCCATTGTGCTGCCCCTTCAATCAAAATGAGTGCTATAAAGAGTGGATTAAGTCGATGGAATTCGAGTTATAGCCCTCTCCACTAGATTTATCTCCAACGGGAATCCTTTACGACAATCAAATTATTTTTATTTCCTCTCTTACTATTCAGTTATTTTGCAACTTTTGTTATTTTTTAAATAGAATAGGGTTATTTGTTGGGCATACTCTAATTTACATTAAGAGGTTATAAATAATCTGCTGTTTTCGTTTACGGAATTTGAAAATTAACATACAATGTTTATATCTACACACCGATTTCTATGGCAATCAATTAGCTATTCCCTTCATTCTTAGCCACTTGCATTTGCATGGTGTTGGCAAAAGAGGGCAAATTGCTCGGGGCTTTTTCGTGTTAGGGACAACTCTTCCCCTCCCCCCTCCCCCTCCCTCCCCTCCTTCGGACGATCCGTTATTCTATTGTCATTCTTGATCCATGCTTTCTGATATCATTTTCATGCAGTCAAGTTCCTGCTTACATTAATCCAATTGCTCCGAAGAGTAATCAATTAAATTTTCTCATTGTGGGATACTAGTTGGTCAGAGGGAAAAAGATATCTTTTGATATTGCCTTTACCCGGGAACTCGTGGTTCTTAAATTGCCCTCCTCTACGAATCCCACCACTAACATCTTTGTGTTTGCACATTGCTATATATACATATGTTATTACTGCTTTGCATTTGATTTAAAATTCGCAATATATATATATATATATTGGGTTGGCAACTAAGTCATTGCCGTTTTTGTTGACGGATTCACTTTATACTTTCTTTTGTTTTGTTAACGTGGCCAGAGCATCTAACCTATATTTTTTTCTTACTGTATGGGCTTCTAGGTTAATTAGTAAAAAATTTTTTTGTTTAGTTCTTTAGTTTTGTTTTTATCCCAATTTAAAAATGAAAGAACAGGACGTGCACTTCCGACACATTTTATTGTATTACTTCCGAAAAGGCAAGAACGCATCGCAAGCACAAAAGAAGTTATGTGCCGTATATGGAGATGAAGCCGTCTTAAAAGAAAGGCAGTGTCGAAATTGGTTTGAAAGATTTCGTTCCGGTGATTTTTCACTGAAAAATTCACAACGATCTGGCCGCCCAGTCGAAGTGGATGAAACCCATATCAAGGCCATTATCGATTCAAATCGTCACAACACAACACGAGATATTGCAGAGAAGCTCAATGTGTCGCATACATGCATTGAAAAAAAAATAAAAACCCTTGGTTATGTCAAGAAACTCGATTTATGGATCCCTCACCAGTTAAAGGAAATTCATTTGACGCAACGGATTAGCATCTGTGATTCGCTACTGAAACGCAATGAGAATGATCCATTTCCGAGGAAGAACCTAGTTACTGGCGACGAAAAGTGGATAGTTTATAACAATGTTACTCGCAAGAGATCATGGGTGAAGCAAGAACAACCAGCCCAAACAATATCAAAAGCAGCAGAGATTCACCAAAGTAAAGATTATGCTGTCAGTCTGGTGGGGGGATCACAAAGGA